GCTTCCTACCTTTGTGATCGTTTAATAAACCCGCCTTATAGCATGAAGACAACTCTATGTCAGGAACGTAGATTAAATGAAAGTTCTAGAATGAATCATTTGACTAGAACCACCTTAAAGCATGCATTTTTTGAGTTACCTTATTTTCTTGCAATCCAGTCATTATCGCAAGAAGTTTAGGATTTTTTCCTTTTTGTTGGGCCAACTCAAGGATACCCTCGCCACCACGGAATCCAGTCAAGCGAGCTTCGAGGCGTCCACCTTCTGTAACAGAGAGACTTTGAGAAACAGCATTTTCCGATGTTTTGATACTTTTCTCTCGTTATTCTCCTATAACATTGTTTACTTGTGTTCGCTCCGCGTAGACTTAGTTGGTGCTCTTTTATTCATTTTTTTCTATTTCTATATTCATTGACTCAATACCTATAGGTGTACCATTAAGAAAACAAAAAAGAACTTTGTCAAGTCAGAAATACCACTTTTCTACGCACTTTAAAACTAGAGAAACAGAGACAGAAAATAGAAGCAACAGAAATTGCTTCTGTTTTTCTCCTGATTTTTGCTTCCCACCTGTTTTTTTCTTTTGAAGAAAGTTTCTCATAGATTTAAAATTGCGTAATATCCTTAGTATCTATTTTATTCTCTCAATCATCGATACGCCAATTCGTAATAGATAGTTTCATGGTGCCCTTTTATGAATAATCAAGAGTAAAAAATGGATACATTTTGGAGGTTTAGAAAACTTGGGAGCTCAGAGTGGGTAGGGTATGTCATTGAGTTTAGCAATACCTTACTTGCCAAAATAACCACCTTTCTGAGGAGGATCCACACATGTATTTCTAAAATAATTCACAGTAAACGTGGTGTGTGCATCATTTTCGACAAATAGATCTGGTCTGGTCAATTGGTCTTGATCGGAGATTACACATTGCTCTTCTCCGGGAATGTGCATTGCCGACCTGCATCGTGATCCATGAATTAGCGCTGATAGACATAGCCGCAGGCATTCGTCTTTAAACTGAAATTTATCGAATAGAAGAGCAGAGGTACGGAAAGTTTTCTATGTCAGTTAAGTTGAAAGATAGGGGAATGAGCTCAAACAGAAGAAAGAGATGGAAGTGGGAGAGAAAATGAAAAGAATGAGAGAAAGGCTACGGTGGTGTTCGAGTGTCCGTGTAGTTGCCAAGACATATTACGGTAGAAAAAGAGCTTTGTTTTCGAGAGATTAGTCTCACAGAACCCGGTCAATACGTTGCATTATTTGGGACTTAAAATTCTTAACTCAAATACCAAGCTACAGTCGAGGAGTAATTCTTCCTTATGGCTTTGGAGGCTTTTTAACTAGCGCCCTTTAGACGACAAAAATCAGTAAAATTGAAAAATGGCAAACTTTTCGTTATGACGCAAGAAGCCTGGAAATTATAGATGGTATAGC